GTGTGTATATACATGTATATGTGTATATATACATGTGTGTATATATGCATATATACGTGTGTATATATGTATGTATGTGTGTGTTTGTGTGTATATATATATGTACATATATATATACTCCAAGTTGTTTCTCTCAGGTATCCATCAGAGCTACAAGAGAAGTTTGACTAACACAAGATTTCATATATGTGGTCACAAAATCAAAAGCACATGTTGACACTGGCTTCACATTCTGAGCTCTAATTTTACTTTTTTCACTTAATGACCTAAAATACTCAGTGGATGCCTCCTCCTTCCAATTCTTTGTAAAAATAATGTCTTTAACATGAATCATTCAGAGAAGTAATGCTCTGGCTGTGTGTGTGTGTGTGTGTGTGTGTGTGTGTGTATGTGTGTGTTCCTAAACACATCTCTCACATTCACTCAGTCACCACTCTCCTGTCTTGTAGCCACTCATCCCACTCTCACTTCTCATACACCCCTCTTTCTCTCTTCCACCTTCCCCATGCCTACTGCTGTTTTTGAGATGGATACCACTTAGTCCTAGGGTAGTTTCAATACATAGAAGAAAATGACTCTGAACTCATGAAAGAACTGGATTATAGGCAGGCCATACCATGTCAAGCCTCTTTACTTTCTATTTTTAGACAGGGTCTCAATAATTTACCTAAATTGGCCTTGAACTCACTCTGTGGCTTAGGCAGGCCTTGAACTTGTGATGATCCTTCTCTGTCAGTCTCCTGAGTAGCTAGAACTATAGGCCTGTGCCATCAGGTTAGGCAAACAATTATTTTTGATTCCACTACTTTCTCAAAGGCTAATAATAGGTACTACTTGCCCTATTCTAGAGAGCAAGATAGTTGGTTAGTAAATTGGTGCTTAATTATCATATGTGTTGAATAGTTCATGATGCTTAAAAAAATAAGACAAATTTCAAGAAAAAAATACATAAAAGACAGGTAAACAGCATATGAATATCTGTATGTTTTAATCTGTACTTAAAACAGTATGTTGCTTTTATGTTGTAAATCTTATAAATATCAATGTTAATGAAATATTTTAACTAGTGGGGCTTCGTGGCACATGCCTTTACTCTCAGCATCTAGGAGGCAGTGTCTTTTAATCCCAGCACTTGGGAGGCAGAGGCAGGCAGATTTCTGAGTTCAAGGCTGGCCTGGTCTACAGAGTGAGTTCCAGGACAGCCAGGGCTACACAGAGAAACCCTGTCTCCAAAAAAAACCAAAAAAAAAAAAAAAAAAAAGAGGCAGTGTCACCAGATTTCTGTGGGTTTGAGCCCAACAAGACTATGTACAAGGCCAGCCAGGGTAACTAGTGAAACCCTGTCTCGATATGTATATGTATACACACACTATAAATATATACTTATATATGTGTGTGTGTGTGTGTACCCATATGTAATGGATACGTACATTTTCTAACAATTGCACTTGATCAAAAGGCCAAGAAGCAATTAACAAGCTATTAATTTTAATTATACTTAGATGTTACATTAACATCAACCTTTACTGGATACCGATTTTAAAGTAAATTTTATCAAGCAAATCCAACAGAATGAGAACCAGGATAAAGCATCTTACAAGTTTCAGCTTTCCCCAGGAAAAGCACTTTAAGGTTTCCTATGAGTAGCTATAGCAAGATAGGTCCATGGACCTTCTGGTTTTTGAAATACTGTAATGCCTTTACAGAGTATAAACTGCTTACTTCCTGGAAAATGATCAGATAAGCAGATGAGACACAAAAGCATACTATAATCTGTACACAAGAGCATATATAGCCATACCCTATAAACTTAAAGAACTTACCTTAAACAGTGTCACAGTGATTTCAATGTTTTCAGGAACAGGCCAAACAACAACACCACGATATGGATTTTTTATTCCAGGTTGCCAGCTGTGAGCCTACCAGAATAAAAATAAAGCTTCAATTACTCAATTAAGTACAAAAGTCATCAACCTTATTTAGCTATCAACTAAGAGCTATAGTCTCCCTGAAACAAACACCACTAGTCAAAATAAAAGCAAACATGGAAAAAAAGAACATTTAAGCATTAAGCTCAAATAAGTGAGAGCTATATATCTATCTATAAGCAAATCTATGTCTAACACACACACATGCAGGTGTGCCACAAGAAATGACACAAAAATAAGCTATCTTACATTCTTAAAGGCTGATATTTCTGGATACAGAAAGCTTCAGTTAGGAACAATATTTTTAAAATTATTTTTGTGACTGAGAATTTTAAGGCAAATTTATTCCTTAAAAAGAAAATCTCGAGTCTGGAGAGATGGCTCAGTGGTTAAGAGCACAGATTGCTCTTCCAGAGAACCTGGGTTCAATTTCCAGCAACCACATGGTAGCTCACAACCATCTGTTACTCCAGTCCCAGGGGATCCAATGCCTTCCTCTGACCTCTATGGGCACCAGGACTCACATGGTATATGACATACATGCAGATAGGACACCCATACACATACAATCTTTAAAAAGAAAAAGCTAGCAGGATACAGCCACGTGTCTGTGGTCTCAGCAACTCAGGATGCCAAGGGCTCCAGAAATAGGAAGATAGAGGCGGACAGAGAGGAAGGGGAGAGAAGGGAGAGAGGTGGAGGGAGGTCTCACCATACACTTTGTATTTGAGCTCATTTCCCCTAAACTGTAATGTTTCTTATTTAGGTGAAATAGTGAAAGAGAGCAAACAGTAGCTATTCCAGATCATATTTCTAAGACTTCGGGGAGTGTTTTACTTATAAACCTTGATTACCAAAATTCCCTTGGAATCTTCACCACCCAAATTTTAAAGATCATCACCACTTCCTCTTGTGTATTATTGACCAAAGTTGAACTGAAGGGAGATGACACGACAGGATAGGGCTAGTAAGTTTTCATCTAACTGTTAGTGGATGTGTCTGAAGAACATAATAGAAGATAACAATTAAACAGTACTTTCTATGTGTCAGTCCACAAACTGAGAATTTACTATGTTAAACTCATTGCCCCTAGATAAGAATCCTTCTTAGAGGGGAGACCTGTTCATTCCGTCGCTCACTGGTTCACGCAGCTGATACCATCTGTACAGTTCTATCTATCTGCTTTGGTAGCTAAGCAGTATGTTGAAGTGGAACATACGTGTCATGGGAAAATAAACAGGATATTGATACAGGGGTCAGAGGAGAGCAGTTCTCTTCAGGGCAGTCAGAGAGGGCTTTGTGGAAGCACTGACACCTGAGAGAAGTATGAAGAAATCAGATACACAGATACAGGAAGAACACTTTGAGGGTGGAACATGTGCGTGCACGTGTATAATGAGGTAGTGTGACTGGAGCAGAGTGAGGAAGAAATGACACCAGAGAGACAGTGGAGGCCCAGCCAGGTAAGGTCCGCTCAGGCCTCTGCAAAGATGCTTATTTTTATTTTACATGAGACATGAGGCCATTGGAAGGTTCCAAGCAGAGGAATGTTGATCTAAGCGGTGTTTAAGTTGACTCACTTTAACCAATGTGTCTAAAACAGGCTTCAAACATTAGAGGAAACAGCTAAGAACAACTAAGAATGCCCTGTACTAACCTACTGTTTTATGTATGAGAGATTGAAAGTAGCTAGAGCTGATGGTAGACCTGTTTTGCCCCTGAGGAACTAGGAAAAAAAATGCTGTTAATATATATGAGGCAAGGCCAAGTTCAGGAGCTCAGTTTTATACACATCAAATCTCATTTGCCTATCAGATATATAAGTGCAGGTGTTCAAATAGGAAGGTCAATCTAAGTATCTGTCATAAACTTGGGAATTAGTAGTATACAGACAATTCTTACATATTAAGAATGGATACAATCCTAGGAGAGTGGGAATAGATACAGAACAAGAAGTTTGGGTTGGGACACTGGAAGCCCCAGGTATCACTCAGAAGAGCAAGTAAGTGGTGGAGAGATGCAAGAGAAAGAGAAGCAAAAGGATCTGAGCACAATGAAGAGAGGCAGAACTGGAGACTTGAGGTTAGTGAGGAACAGCCCAATGTGAGGAGGTGGTGATGCCACCTAAGACCATGGTGGGGTTCTGGTCTGTGCTGACACAAGGACCATGTCTGGGCCCCTGGCTCTGCAGCGGGGAGGGGGTCTGTTAACATTAAAGGCCAAACAGATGCCCTGGTCTCAGATGCTGCCTGGGGCCATGTTGATGTCTAAGGGCTGTGCAGAGCTAGCCTCACCACTCACGGGGCATCATGGGAGAGGCGGCTCCAAAGGCATGGAAGCAGGAAAGTAGCACTTACCCTCACCCAAGAAGCACTTTAGAGCTGTTCCTAGTTGCAGATGAGCTGACCCCAAGGATGTGAGTGGAAAAGAGCTGGTCCTGCCACTTGTCTGCCATGTCGTGGTGTGGACAAGAGGAGATGTCTTCTTTCCCCCCTTTCCCTCCCCACATATGGCAGTCAGGAGAGCAAGCTCTGAGGTTATGAGAGTGGGAGAGCTGGCCCAGCCTCTTGCCTGCTGCAGCATTCTAGGGAGCAGACCCTGCACCTCACGAGGCAGCACCCTGGTGGCATGGGTCCATGTGAGTTGGCTGGGCAGTGCTGGAGAAATCACCTTGGTGGTGTGTGTTGTAGGTACAGGAGAGCTGGTGGGCTGAACAACTCACATAGCACCGAGGCCTAGATCCAGGACTTTGAGTTGGCCCATCCCAACATCTATAAATAAAGTGCTGGAGAGTATGAAAGGCTAGTCTGACACAAGTCAATAAGAGGAGGCCCAATAGAGATCCAGTAGTGATAGTGTAGCAGAAACCAGAAGCCCCAAACCACACCAGTGACTCCTTGCAATGAATATTTGCAAGCAAAGAAGTGTGAACAATCTGCACTTAGAGCTGACCCTGGGCCACAGCTCTCCATACCCTGGTCCCACCGAGAGTGAGCTGGGCTCCCAGGAGTGCTGACATACCTGAGAGCACAGGTGAGACCACCACTTCTGTTCAAATTCCTGGCCCAAGGGGGCGCTGCACAGAGCCAACAGGACACAGGAACCAAGAAATAGCTAGGGATAGGCTCCTTCCTGCTTCCTTCTATGTCCCGGAGCTGACCCTGGGCCACAGCTCTCTAAACTCAAATTCCTCCCTGAAAGAACTGGCCTCCCAGGAGTACTGACACACAGGCTTACAGGAAGGACAAGTCACAGTCAGAGACAGCAAGACCAGCTAACAGCAGAGATAACCAGATGGTGAGAGGCAAGACAAGAACGTAAGCAACAGAAAGCAAGGCTAACTGACATCATCAGAACCCAGTTCTCCCACCACAGCAAGCCCTGGATACCCCAACACACCAGAAAAACAAGACTCTCTTTTAAAATCACATCATATGATGATGATACAAGACCTTAAGAAAGACATAAATAACTCCCTTAAAGAAATACAGGAGAACACAAGTAAACAGGTAGAAGCCCTTAAAGAAGAAACACAAAAATTCCTTAAAGAATTACAGGAAAATACAACCAAACAGGTGAAGGAATTGAACAAAACCATCTAGGATCTAAAAATGGAAACAGAAACAATAAAGAAATCACAAATAAAGACAACCCTGGAGATAGAAAACCTAGGAAAGAAATCAGGAGTCATAGACGCAAGCATCACCAACGGAATACAAGAGAAAGAAGAGAGAACCTCGGATGCAGAAGATACCATGGAAAATATTGACGTAGCAGTCAAAGAAAATGCAAATTACAAAAAGCTTCTAACCCAAAACATCCAGGAAATCCAGGACACAATGAGAAGACCAAACCTAAGGATAATAGGTATAGAAGAGAGTGAAGATTTCAAACTTAAAAGGGCCAGTAAATATCTTCAACAAAATTACAGAAGAAAACTTCCCTAACCTAAAGAAAGAGATGCCCATAAACATACAAGAAGCCTACAGAACTCCAAATAGATTGGACCAGAAAAAAAATTTCCTCTGGTCATATAACAGTCAAAACACAAAATGCACAAAACAAAGAAAGAATATTAAAATTGAAAAAAGGTCAAGTAACATATAAAGGCAGACATATAAGAATTACACCAGACTTTTCACCAGAGGCTATGAAAGCCAGAAGATCCTGGGCAGATGTCATACAGACCTTGAGAGAACACAAATGCCAGTCCAGGCTACTATACCCAGAAAAACTCTCAATTAACATAGAGGAAGAAACTAAGATATTCCATGACAAAACCAAATTACACAATATCTTTTACAAATCTACCCCTACAAAGGATGATAGATGAAAAATTCCAACACAGGGATGGAAACTACACCCTAGAAAAAGCAAGAAAGTAATCTTCTTTCAAGAAACTCAAAAGAAGATAACCACACAAACATAACTCCACCTCGAGCAACAAAAATAACAGGAAGCAATCATCACTGATCCTTAATATCTCTGAGCATCAAACTCAATTCCCCAATAAAAAGACACAGACTAACAGACTGGATATGTAAACAGGACCCAGCGTTTTGCTGAATACAGGAAACGCACCTCAGTAACAAAGAAACAAAGACACTACCTCAGAGTAAAAGGCTAGAAAACAATTTTCCAAGCAAACGGTCCCAAGAAACAAGCTGGAGTAGCCATTCTAATATCAAATAGAATCAACTTTCAACCAAAAGTTATCAAAAAAGATAAGGATACTTCATACTAATATTCAAAGTACTTTATACTTCATACTCAAAGGAAAGATTTACCAAGGTGAACTCTCAATTCTGAACATCTATGCTCCAAATGCAAGGGCACCCGCATCATAAAAAAACAAAAAAACAAAAAACAAAAAAAAACTACTAAAGCTCAAAGCACACATTGCACTTCACACAATAATAATAGTGGGAGAATTCAACACCCTACTCTCATTAATGGACAGATCATAGAAACAGAAACTAAACAGAGACACA